GTGTGTGTGTGTGTGTGTGTGTGTGTGTGTGTGTGTGTATCAGTCATGTCTGCTCTGATTTGTCAGCTGATTGGTCAAAAATGACAAAGCAAAAAAGCAGTAAGTCATTTTAACCTTTACAGTTTTCTGTAGAACAGTTATTCTTCCTTAGATGTAGTCATTGTATTTTTACATTGAAAAAGAAACACATAATCAMACACTTGCTAGCATTTTTGACATTTTGTACTCTTACGTGTAACTGTGACATTAGCTGTGGTCTTGACGTCTCCATAGTTGCAGCTGTAGATACCGCTGTCCTCCAGTTGTGCATTTTTRATGGTCAGTTCCATGATGCTGTTCCGACTTTTAATCTGATACTTGAAGTCGTTCTTCAGCGGCTCTTTTCCTTTCCTCCACTCAGCAGCGAGGCCGGGTTTGGACAGCTCGCAGCTCAGTGTGAGGCTGTTCTCCTCCTCCACCTGCTGGTTCCTCAGCTTCGTCTTAAATGTAACAGGTGGCGCTGCCAAGCRATAAACAAAAGTTATTCATCTTCCTTTGTTCCTTTAGGTTAGATTTATTTTTACGTTCATTTAATCTGTCACCTTTGACTGTGAGCTCAGCAGCTGATTGGCTGTCTTCGGTTTTGCAGGTGTATTTGCCAGCATCGCCCTCTTCCACATTGTTGATGATCAGTTTGGTGAGACAGCCCTCTTGTTTCATCTCGTATTTGTAGCCAGGTTTYAGGATGACTCTGCCTTTCCTCCAGTCCAGAGGAGCTCCAGGTTTAGAGAGCTCACAGCAGAAAACCGCACTGTCCCCTTCCTTCACCTCCAWATTCTCAACTTCCTTCTTAAATGTTACAGGAATAGCTGGGAAATTAATTTTATTAGCATCATTTATTCTATCAGTGGGTTTATTGTAATTATKTTGAAGAAAATTAACAGAACATTTAGAACTAAAGCATACCTCTAACTCTGATGTCTGCTGACGTCACAGCAGTTCCAGCAGAACAGCTGTACTCTGCAGCATCTGCCAGAGTTAAGTTTCTAATTAGCAGCTCTGCCACTCGGCCCTCTTGCTTTATTTGATATTTTTCTCCATCTTTCAGGAGCTGAGCATCTCTCCTCCACTCCACTRGCACCCCCGGTTTAGAAAGCTCGCAGCGTAACATCACGTCATCCTCCTCCACAGCTTCCTGGTTCTTCAGCTTCTGCTTGAAAGTCACTGGGATTCCTGGGGGGATGATAATTAGCAACATTAATCAGCAACCTTTTGATTGTATTTTTATTATTACATAAGCCATGTGTCTTACCTGTAATGATGACGGTTGCCGAGGTTTTCATGTCATCACAAATGCAACTGTATGTGCCACTGTCCTCAGGGAGACTTTTCCTGATGAGAAGCTCCAGCCTGGAGCCGCTTTGCCTCATCTGGTATTTGTCACCACTGGTTAGCACGATGTCTTCCTTCTTCCACGTTACTGGGACTCCCGGTTGGGAGAGCTCACAACAGAGTGTCACACCATTGCCTTCCTGCACCTGAATACTCTTTAGCTTTTGATGGAACTTAATGAGTCTTTCTACAAAGAAAAAAGAAAAATATTTAGATTTTGATACCCAACTGATTTTTTTATTTTCAAATATTTATAAAATCTGATCTGTTTTCTTAGATTTATAGCTTTTGTCTGAATTTTGACTTTGTTTTTGTAATTCTGACTTTAATGTCGATATTCTGACTTAATTCTCAGATTTCTAACTTTTGTCAGAATTGGAAAAAAGTTTAAGTTTTTGTAAAAATTCTCACATTTTTTTCAAAATTCTAATTGTCATGATTGTTGTTTGTCAGAATTTTTCCCAATTCAAACAAAAGTTWAAATTCTGAAAAAAACATTCTGAAAATTGTACTCTTTTTACATTTCAAAGAAAAGTCAGAATTCTCAAGTAATAATTCTGACTTGTCTGAACTGGGAAACGAGTAGAATTTTCAGAATTTTAACTTTTGTCTAAATTGGGAAAATGAGTAGAAATTTGGAAAAAGAGTAGAAAATGGGAGAACGAGTAGAAATTGGGAAAAAGAGTAGAAATTAGGAATAACGAGTAGAAATTTGTAAGAATGAGTTGAACACATTGGGTAGAATAAGTAGAAAACATTGGTGAGAAAGAGTAGAAAGCATTGGGGAGAACGAGTAGAAAACATTGGGGAGAACGAGTAGAAATTGGGAAGAAAGAGTAGAAATTGGGGAGAACGAGTAGAAATTGGGGAGAACAAGTAGAAAACATTGGGGAGAATGAGTAGAAATTGGGAAGAACGAGTTGAACACATTGGGGAGAAAGAGTAGAAATTGGGAAGAACGAGTTGAACACATTGGGGAGAAGGGGTTGAAAGAAAGTGGGGAGAACAAGAATGAAGTCGGGAAGGACGAGTTGAATGAAGTCGGGAAGGACGAGTTGAATGAAGTCGGGAAGGATGAGTTGAATGAAGTCGGGAAGGACGAGTTGAATGAAGTCGGGAAGGATGAGTTGAATGAAGTCGGGAAGGACAAGTTGAATGAAGTCGGGAAGAACGAGTTGAATGAAGTCGGGAAGAACGAGTTGAATGAAGTCGGGAAGGACNAAAAAAAAATGCAATTACTGTGTGCAAAAGTCGTTTGTCATCCCTTATTTCTTAAGCTTTCAGGTACTTTTTATTGTTTTCTTCAAAACAACTAAAGTGCTACCAATACTCACCCGTCACACTGATCATAGCCGTTGTCCTCTGCTCTCCACAAACACAGGAGTAATCTCCAGTGTCCTCCACAGTGAGGTCYGCGATCTTCAGCTCCACCTGCAAGTCTTTCTTCCTCATCTGGTACTTTTCTCCATTCTTGAGCACTTCTCCTCCTTTCCTCCACTCCACTAAGGAAGCAGGTTTGTTGAGCTCACAGTGCAGAACCACGCTTTTGCCCTCCATCACCTCCTGGTTTGTTAATATAACCTTGAAGCTTGGCGGGAGAGCTGTCAATTACCACAAATCAAACAGGAAGTTATTTTATGAAAACTTTACAAAGGATGTGACTAAAATGGCAACATCAAATGGACAATGTTTAGGTGAAAAGGGGTGTCATGCTCACAGTAATGTAAATACGAAGCAATCATAATGGATTATAAAACAATCCATTTTTAACTGACAATGCAAGTAGAAGATGATTCTGGTATGACGTGATCTAATTTTACATGAAATAAAACTAAAATTATCAGTTAAGGAGAGAATCTTAAGAGAAGCTGATGTAAAGTGCACACAAAGCACTCTGACATCAAACCATGATAAACAGGTGGATGACAGATGTGGAACAAAAAGGTCTTTTCATGAGGGTTCTACATAATGGAGCTTAAAACATGACACTGAGTCTTATTTTGTTTTTCCATTTGAGGCTGACCTCTTCGACGTCTGCGTTGTGGTGATTCTGTTGAGTACATGGCATACCAGTTTTACAAAAGAACAACAACAACAAAAAATAAAAAAATAGCTCAAAGCAAAGCGTTTGTGGAAATGCGCAGATACCGGGAGAGTTTCTCATCACCTTTGACCGTGAGCTCGGCAGATGATTGGCTGTCTTTAGTCTTGCAGGTGTATATGCCGACGTCGCTCTCCTCCACGTCGTTGATGATCAGTTTGGTTAGACGGCCCTCGTGTTTCATTTCATATTTCTGTCCGGGCTTCAGGATGACGCGGCCTTTTCTCCACTCCACGGGAGCTTCGGATTTGGAGAGCTCACAGCAGAAAACAGCACTGTCGCCTTCCTTCAGAACCAGGGGCTGGAGCTCCCGTTTAAAGGTGACAGGAAGTGCTGTTGAGGAATTGTTCGAAAAACCTTCAGATGGTGTTCATGCTTTGCAACGCAAGTATTCAGATATTAACCTTACGTTTTACTCGGACTTCAGCTGAGGTTTTCTCATCTCCTGCGATACAGCTGTACTTCCCTGCATCGTCTGGTTGCACATTGACTATTGTCATGAGAACTTTCTTTCCTTCCAGCTTCATCTGGTACCTTCCACATGACACCTCCTCTGACAGCAGCTGGCCTTGTTTCTGCCACTGAACTGGCACTCCTTTCTTTGAAAGCTCACATTTTAATGTCACACTATTMCCTTCTTCAACTTCCTGGCTTTTCAGGCTCACTTTAAATGTGGGGGGAACAGCTGATGAAAACAGAAACAGAACTCATTTGCACAAGCTGCTAAGCAGCATAAATAGAAAGACTAGCCTCACAACAAGCATCAAAACGTACCGATGATTTTTACAGTGGCTTTTGTTTTCTGCTCCCTGCACACACAGGTGTAGATGCCGCTGTCCTCCGGAGCAGCATCTCTGATGGTCAGCTCCAGGACAGAGTCCCTCTGCTTTATCTGGTACTTCTCTCCATTCTCCAGCTGCTCTCCTCCAAGCCTCCACTCCACCGGGATAGCCGGTTTAGAGATCTCACAATGCAGTGTGATGTTCTGCCCTTCCTCCACTTGAAGGTTTTTCAGCTTTTGCTTGAAGGTAACTGGCAGCACTGAAAGGCAAAAAAAAAAAGTGAACGGGGTTAATATGAAACATTAAAAAAGGTGGAAAATCCTTTGAAAATCCAAAGCATTCAATCCACTCTTTGTGAATTGCTGATCCAAGTTAGAGAATCCTATAGAAAGTTTACATGTGAGAAAAAAAGTGTWAAAAGTTGAATTGCTCAAATTTAGTAAATTTGTATGGAGATCCTACTGTGACATAAAAATATATTCATGCGGCCACAAGATAATTTTGAGCAGCCATGTCTTTCTGTGAGAGATAGAATGTTGGAGTCAGATTAAGTATGAAATTGTTGTTTTTGTTTTTAACTGTTCAAAGGTACGCAACACTTATTATTATTAATTTTTGAAATATGTTAAATTCCAAAATCATACCTCCAGGTTCAGTCTAAACCAGGGATGGGCATCTCATAGCATCTTTAAGCTGCTTGCTTTTTAACTAAAAATAAATAAATATATACTGTTATGGAGGTAGACTATCTGTTCACAAAATTTCAAGGCAAACCTGGTTGTTTAGTCTGCTTAGAGACGCTGTCTGCCATGAAGAATTTTGATATAAGTTTTACACAAAACTAAATTTACTGAAGTCGTAAGTACGTAAACAGCAGCAAATTTTTACCAGAACCACACACAAGTCTGCACTCAAGCCGTCTTATGTCGTTACACTTCAGCTCGCAAAAGTATATGTTTATTTTTTGTTGGCTTCAAAGGTAACGTTTTAATATTTATTGAACAAGAATAAAACTGTCATACTTAGCAAGAGTTAAGTTACTGCACTCTATGTTGTTTTAATAAACTTATACATACAGAAACATTTTTTAAAAAGCAGTTTCCTTTCGGTCAGTATACGCGGTACAACACGAGTATGGGGATTGCGCCCTCGCGATACCAACCTGAAAAAGTTTCTTTCAACACGCCTGTCAAGGCCAACGAGATTGCTGCACGCATCTACAGGAGGCCCTGCCCTCCTGGATATAAGATGCGGCGCAGTCTCATTTCCTCAATCTTTTTGCACTTCACCTCGCTTTAACCTGTTGACAGATCTCTTGTAGCTGACTTAACTGTCTGATCGGAGGTGAGCTTCCTCCCTGCCCAGGGCGTCGCTACAAGTTAGATTCTGTTGAAAGAAACTTCTTCAGGTTGGTCTCGCAAGGGCGCAATCCCCATACTCATATGTTGTACCTCATTTCTCTCCCTCAGGGAACAATGGTTACATTTGTAACCTCCAGTTTTATTACATCTCTGCAGTCGCCTGGAGGTGGCTGGAGAAGTGGACGGCGGCGAGCGAAGGAAGCTAAGAGCCGAGGACTGAGGCTAAAGGCGGTGTGGCCTGGAGGTGGCGGACCGCGACGAGCACATATACGTACACTCATAGACACACACACACACACACACACATATATATTATATATATATATATTCTCTCATTTTTTAAAATATTTTTCTTTTATTGTATATAAAATTATTTGTTTTGTTTTAATGAAATGAATAAAGAACTGAATTGAATTGGAAATGACTGCAACAATTATCTCGTGGCCACACATTAATATACAGACTTTGTATAATCAAACCTCTTTACCGTTCACAGTCAGAGTGGCCGTCGTCTCTGTGTTCCCACAGAGGCATGTGTAGATGTCRCCATCTTCAGGTGTTACATCAAAGATCCGGAGCTCTACAAGCGCATCTCTCTGCTTCAGGTGATACTTCTCCCCATTCCTGATGACTTCATCCCCCCCTTTTCTCCACTCTACAGCGTGACCAGGCTTGGACAGCTCACAGCGCAGTGTTGCAGTGCTGCCCTCTTCGATCAGCGTGTTCCTCAGCTTCTGCTTGAAGATGACTGGTAAAGCTAACATGGAGTGTGGGTTAGAYCAATAATCATAATTTCAGACTCTCCAGATTGATTAAAGGTCATTTATGAAGAAATAAATCTACCAGTGATGTTGACCGTGGCAGATGTGATCTGATCAGCACACACACAGCTGTAGACCCCGCTGTCCTCAGGCACAGGCTTCCAGATCAACAGCTCCAAGGTGGTCTCCCGTTTCCTTATCTGGTGCTTGACACTGTTTGTCAGCAGCTCGTGTCCTTTCCTCCATTCCACCGGGAGTCCAGGTTTTGAAATTTCACAGCGCAGAATGACGCTGCTGCCCTCCTCGGCCTGCAGGTTCTTCAGCTGCTGAACAAATGTGATGGGGATAGCTGGAAAAGAAAACAATTTAAGAAGCAAAACAAATAAAACAAATCAAAAATAACATAATGATTAAATAAATGCATATTACCCACAAATTTCTGTAACGGATCATAACTGATCACCTACTTTAATTGTAAACTAAAGTGGGGAATATTTGCTGTTTTCTAACACACCCTGTTGTGTTTGAATTAAATTACACCCTAACAATCATTTCATGATGTAGAAATTGTGTTAGAAGTTAGAATTTAAAATACTGRAAATTGCATATTTTGACTGCTATTATTGGTTTAAAATCTGTCATGTTTAAAAAGACATTTTGCTTACAGACAAAAGAGTAAATGCCAAAGTTTGTTGCRGTCTTAGTTCTCAGTTTATGTATTGAGGATGACTCTCAGCTATTAACGCACCATAATATAGCTTATCGTCTGTAAAATTCATTGAGCTACGAGCTAAGACTGATTAGTTGGTGTGACTATCTTGAAAGAAGTTGATCACTAAAGTAAAATTGTGCATACATCAATGATTTTAACAATTTTGTTCATATAATCTGTGAAATATTGCCCTGGTTTTAATTTGAATGCTGCAATATTTTTGTATTCTTGATGTGTTTGTATACTTATGTATATCTACTCTAGTTTTATTTTTATTTTATTTTATTTGTAAGAAATAAAAAAAATCTATTTCTTTGGTTAGACTGAGTACCTCATTGAACAGTGGGAACCATAGAGTTSCTTGACAGACTTTTCTGCTTGAGGAATTAACGTGTAATTCCCTGACAGATTAAAAATGATTTCTGACTGGAACCAATTTAAATCCAGACTGAAGCATTTTCTGAAAGAGAACCAGTTTTGTTATCATGACTGTCACCTTTTTGATTATGTTTTTATGATCTGTTTTTAAGTCTTTTTTATGAATTGTATACTTATTAATATTATCATGTTTTATTCTTTTAAACTGTTTTTTTATGTTGCTGGGGCTGGTTTTGCAAAATAGCCTGGGCTACAAATGGTTAAGTGTATGGTATTGTTAATACTTGTCCCTATACATGTAAACAATAAATTAAATAAATGCATTATTATTTTGAACGTGCAATTTGCAAAATTGCTTGAATAATAATAATAATTAAAATGTAATCAAATCAATAGCTTACCATGTACTTTGAGGCTTGCTGTTGTGTGGTGTTGTCTACACTGGCATGTGTATTCTCCTGAGTCAGCAGGTGACAGAGCTTTGATGGTAAGTAAAATGATGGTTTTTCTTTGTTTCATCACATATTTGTCTCCAGACCTGATGCTCTCAAAACCTCTCCTCCAGTGGAACTGGACCCCCGGCAGAGAGTATTCACAGGTTAATGTAACAGTTTCTCCCTCTTTGGCTTCCATGGCTTTTAAAAGCTGGGTGAATTCTGCTGGGATGGCTAAAAGAGACAAAACGGGGATATTTTTTATAACGTATCATGTGGAATTTGACACAAAGCTGTTTTTTTGTTACCTTTGACAGTGACGACAGCCCTTGTTGTTACAGATCCAGCACTGCACTCGTACACTCCAGCATCACTGCTGCTGACCTCCCGAATGGTCAGTCGAGCTTCACAGTCCGACCGAGTGGTGAAGTACCTGGAGGAGTGCCACATCATGCAGCTGTCTTTGTACCAAACAATGTGGCAYGGCTTGGAAGTCACACAGGACAAAATCAAACCACCTCCCTCAATGGCCTCACAGTCCTCCAGTGCTTTGATAATAGTAGGACGCCTTTCTGGTAACATAAAGACATGAGTCTGATGAGTCTGATTGAAGAGCGACAGAATAAAGTTACAGAAAACTTACCTCTAACCAACAGCGAAGCATAGGATCTTTTGTCCGCTGCGACAAATGTAATGGTGCCAGTGTCTTTACGAGCCAGCTGCCTGAACGTGAGGGTRTGGTTGCCCCCTGAAACCATCTGAATCTCATTGAGCTCATTGGTGTAAAGCAGAGTCTCATCCAGATACCACTTCACCCCCATAAAATCACTGGGACAGATTCGACATTTGAAGGTGACCGTTTCACCCTCAAGACACTCTGCATCTTCTAATTCATCCAAGATCAACACTTTCTGACCTGAAACGCGAAAAATGTTAACACAACATTAAAATACAAAATGCATGAGTTGTATGGAGCACCAAGTTTAAAATAAAATGTTAAAAAATGTCACTTTTCAATGTGTAGATAAGATAAGATAAGATAAACTGAACACCCATTCAGAAGAAGACAGAACATTAACACAGGAGAACAGGTGCTCTGGGTTATGCAGCCATAGACCCCTGCACAGAGCAAGGATCGTCATCATGAAGACATCATGAGGAGGCGAAACCCTTAAAAGAAAAAAAACTAAACACCACATAAGTTAGTTCACTATCTGAGTGTAAAATCCTAGTCAAAAGTTTCCACACACATTTTATTGTATATTTAATTATATTGTATCATTGCATTGCTCACTGCTCATACATTTTGGTAATTTTTACTAAATGTTAAATTCTAAATCTAAACATGAAAGATAAATCTTAAATGTTGAAGTTTAAATTTAAGTATTTTGCAAAGGAGCACAGTCTTTGCGTTGGTGCACAGCTTTTGGTTCAACGTCATCATTCTGAGACAAAAGCAAATGCTAATGTTGCTAACACTGCTAATGCTGCTAACACTGCTAATGCTGCTAACACTGCTAACACTGCTAACCCATGAAACATTAAATATGTAGTTGTGGCTGGTGTCTGAGCTGCACTTCAAACTCCCAGAACACAGGTACCATCCATGTTGTTTTCATCCATCCATCCATCCATTTTCTGTACACGCTTCTTCCTTTTCAGGGTCACGTGGGTCACTGGTGCCCATATCCAGCAGTCACAGTGCGAGGGGCGGGGTACACCCTGGACAGGTCGCAAGTCCATCACAGATGTTGTTTTCAATGAAGGCATTTTGAATTTAGATTTTAAATACTAYCTTCAGCAGTGTTAGCAGTTGATTTTGTCTCAGGATGATGACATCATCATCAGAAAAGCCTCCTGTGCACCAATGGCAAAGGCTGCATTCCATTCCAAAATAGTTATTTGTAAACTTTAACATTCATCCATAATATTTAAGATTAAATTTTTACATTTAGATTTACAATTTTAGATTTATAATTTAACATTGCATGAGACATTGCAACGGTTGCATGTTTCTGTGGTAACAAGTGCTCTAAAACTAACCTGGTCCCGACCAGGTTTAAAGTGAAGCTTATTTAACATTTAAATTTAACATTTAGTAAAAATTAGCTAAATGTAATAATTGTGAGCTAAATAACAATAAATGTTAGTGGAAGTTTTTTTTACTAGTCTTTACATTCAGAAAGCAAGCTAAATAAAGAAAACGTGCTTGTGACATTTTAAACATTTTATTTTACACTTGGAGACCCATTGAGTTGCTCTTAACTTTAATAAAATTTATTAACATGCACTGTTTTAGAAAACATATTSAGAAAGTTGTTGCAGCCAAACATAAGTAATTAGTTAAAGTTTGATGAAAATGTGCAATATTCTTCTAAATGTAAGATTTTCTTTTGAAATGATTTAATTGATTGTTTAAAACATTTTGTCTCTGAAGTGTCACTCACTTACCCTGTACGGTCAGGTGTGCCCGGCTCTGCATGGTACCAACATCACACGTGTAAAGATCTGCATCTGATTTCTCTAAAAAGGTGATGGTTAGTGACAGAACCGCTCCCTTCTGCTTGATGACGTACTTCTTCCCAGACCTGAGCTCCACCATGCCCTTCAGCCAGGTCACACGCTTGGCTGGCCGCCTGGTCTCGCACTCCAGGGTCACCTTACCTTTCTCCTCTGCTCGAGTGTCCGTCAGCTCCCGAACAAACGTGTGCTGGAGTTCTGAAGTGAAAAGCAAAGTTTGGTAAGGCAATGTTTTCAGCTCAAATGTGCTTCGTTGATCTATAAATGTATGACAAGATTTGAAGGGAGGATGGACCCAAATGCAGGCAGGCAGGAAGAAATCCAAATAATAAAAATATTTATTAAAGAAAACAAAGAGCTGGCGTGGCAGCAAAAAAAAAAAAAAAAGTCCATGGCTTAGACAATAACAAAAACATGAACACATGAGGACCAGAGGCCAATTGCACGAAACTAGGATGAGGGATTAACCCGGGATTTTGGTGTAAACCTGAATTAATTAAGCCTTGAATCAGTTGCATGCGCTATGAAGCACTTATGTTTCCGTGGTAACAAGTGCTCTGAAACTAACCTGGTCCCGACCAGGTTTAAAGTGAAGTTGTTAATGTTAATCTGTTAATGTTTCTGAGCAGTAGACGGTCACTTTACTGCAGAAAAATGTTCCCCTAACCAAGTTTTACAGTCTTATATCAGCTAAAAAGTATTTTTGATCTTGTTTTTAGACCGATATACTAAACAAGATCAGAATATTGTAGTGCTCTCAAAACTGACTGCATATTTCACTTTCTGTTATGTGTTCTGTTATGTATAATGTTATGATCCAGGTAAAATTTGCGGTCTCTTTGACAGTTCCAGTGACATTTCTGAGGTGTGTTTTTGTCTGCTCATGTGCAGCGCTATGTTGGTTGTTCATTTAATAAACGCGACTCAAACTGTCTTAATGTGAGAAGTTTTTGGCTCGTTTTTCCGCCAAAAAAGACAACTCCCACACTGGTGACCCCGACGATTGTTTACTGGACGTATCCAGATCGCCATGACCGCCAACGCTGTGTCTCTCAAGCTCCCCGAATTCTGGGAATCTTCTGCTTCAGCCTGATTCGCTCAGACTGAGGCGCACTTTTCCTTACATCAGATTACCGCCGATGAAACGAAATACTACTACGTGGTATCTGCCCTCGGAAGTTATACAGCATCAAGAGTGGTGAGCCTTCTTAAACATCCTCCTCCGGAAAGAAAATATGAAACTCTGAAGGAATACTTACTAAAAACATTCGAACTGTCTGATGCTGAGAGGGCCAATAGGCTTTTCTCTCTTCAAGGGCTCGGTGACAGCAAGCCCTCAGACCTAATGGACCGAATGCTTGATCTGCTTGGGGACAACAAGCCAGATTTCCTTTTCCTGCACCAGCTACCTGCTCATATGAGAGATGCTTTGGCCAACACTCCCAGCACCGATTGCACCGAACTGGCTACTGAGGCTGATAAGTGTTTCCTGGCTAGTAGCAACCTTGCGCAGCGGCCCTCCTCCCTGCTGGTGCTGTATCTGAGGTACAGGATGACCACATGCTCGTCGCAGCAACAGCCCCACGTCGCCAGCAGTCTTCATGTGTGTGCATCTACCCTGCTAGGTTTGGCCCCAAGGCCAAGCGATGCCGCTCTCCATGCAGCTTTGGTGGAGTGGGAAACGCCAAGGCCGGTGCTCACTAGTGGCCGTGAGCGTCGGCCATGCCGGCAGGCTGCTCTTCATCCACGACTCCATCTCCGGCCGGTGCTTCCTCTGTGACACAGGGGCACAGCGGAGTCTACTGCCCGCTTCACAGGTGGATGTGGTGGCTGACACCATCGGCACCCCCCATGGAAGCCGCTAATGGCAGCCCCATTCGTACGTATGGCACGAGGCATGTTGAACTGTGTTTTGGGGTCAACGCTTTGGCTGGAACTTTGTGACTGCCATAGTCACTGGACGTAATCATAGTCTGTTTCTGACTCAACTCAGTTGTCATCAATTAAACTAAAAATTTCGAAAGTCTAATAAATATGTGAAAATATGGTTCAGCAATACTCACTTTAAGTGACAATGTGAAATTTGCAGGGTTTAAAATTATAAAATTGTTTCTGYATTTTATTGCTTTTGTGGAGAATTTGGTTCTTATGTTATTTGGTGGTATTGTGAATGTTCAGTATAAAAATACATGTAAAATAAATTTGTAAACATGCTCTCTGTGAAATAAGTGGCACAGCACACTGCTTTGTCACAAATCTGATGTTTGTCTAAATAAGGCTCTATGGCAAATAACTTCCTTTTTTTGTTTTAGTTCCATATAAAAGAAAAATAAACTTTCACAATATTGTAAGTTTCTAAGAGATGCACCACATATTCAACACAATCTTAGTTTCAAGTGACTAAAATTTTTCTGAAAGGAAAAGAACAATATACAGTACATTTAGATTTCTACAATTCTACTTATAACATTTGTCCTTGACAATTTGTGAACTGTTCGCCTATATTTCTTTTTAACAATCTTATTTAAACTTTTATTTTCCAACAGCTACCTCTGATCTCCAGCTTAGCGCGAGAGGCAACACCTTCAGCCTCACAGCAGTATTCTCCAGAGTCTTTGATGGTGGCGTTCTTGATCACCAGTCGCGCCAGATGTTCTTCCACGCTCATGACGTATTTGGGGTTCTGCCGGATGAGATGACCGTTTTTCAGCAAACGGATGGTGACTTCTGTTTTGGTGATTTCACAGCTCAGCTCTGCGTCCTCCCCGGGCACGGCCTTGACATTCAGCACATCCCTGAAGATGTGCACYGGCTTCTCTAAAGCGAAAGAAGCATTTATCCATTGAAACAAATGGAAGTTGGTGGAACTCAAAATTGTAAGGCAACAAACTTCAGGGCATTTTTAACTTTTGGACTTCAACTTAACCATTTAAGTTTTGCTTTTGAGTTTGTCAGACTTTGATTTCCACATTTTTGTAACTCAACCAAAAGTTGAACTTAAAGTTTTAGGTAGTAAGAACTTTAAATGCTGAGTCTTCTACATGACAGTTGCAGTAACTTAAAACTTTGCAAACTATGAATATCAAATTTCTCTTATTCTACTATAGTTTGCAGACACTTAACATTATAGATCATAACAACTATAAATCCTGAATACTGAACATTATTATGAGTTGCAGTAACTTAAATTTAAACATTGCTTCAACAATTTATTTCTTAATAATCTGCTAATATTAACTACATTAGCATCACCATGTGTTAGACAACATCTTATTTAGCCATCAGGATTTGTCCTTGACTCTTATCTTTCCTGGCCATTTTCCCTCTATATGTTTGTGACACAGACCTTGTGTCAGCAACCAAAACTTAACACAAACGCCAAATCAAGCCTGAATGTGACATTAGAGAACAACTCAAAATGGTTCATGAATCACTGATTAAAGTGTCGTTTTCAGAGATGAGTTTTTAGAAAATTATCCATTTCAGCAACAAAGAGGCGGAGCCAGAACTCTGATCTTTGAGCTGATAGGTGGAAGAAGCAGGAAGAGGGCAACAAATACTTTCAAATCGTGTTTCGGACCATTTTGTTCTGTTTAAAACATTATTAATACTAAAAGTTTGGACTGGATAAATACAAACCAGAAATATAAGAGCAAAAGTTATCTCTGCAAGCTCCGTGTCCGAGTAGTTCACTCTGCCTTCAACTCAAAAGCCAACTCCAAAAGTTGTCTTTCCYGAATTTCACAACAAAAGCATGKAAGTTAGCAGCACTTTCATCTGTTGCAATGACCTACAACTTAGAGATGTAAGTGCTGACAACTCACAAATAATGTTTAAAATTACAACTGCCTTGGTTTTTTTGGACCAACTTAAATTATTGTCCCCAACATGTCACACTTCGTTTTTCAAGTTTTTTCAACTGAAAATTGTTTTTCACCCCACCACCCCCAAAAAAAGGAAGTTGGATTTTTGATAAACCAACAAAACATGGTCTTTTCAAGTATTCACCTTTGACAAACAGCATGGTCCTACAACTTAGATCTTTAATTGTGAAGACCACATCTCCAGCGTCCGTGAGCACAGCATCTCTAATGGTCATCTTGTACTTGCGGCCGTCGCTCACTAACTGAATGTGACCATTGGTAACCACCAGCTGGCCATTGATCGTCCAAGTGGGCTCATCATCAACATCATGAGACAGATGACACTCAAAGGTGCAGCTTTCACCTTCATGAACTGAGGCTGTCTTCATTCGCTGGACGATGGTAATGCGTAGGTCTGTGATAATGTTATGAATTAAAAACAGCAAAGTGTCAATGATTGTGTTTTTGTGATATGTGAAACATAAATTAAACTTCTTGAATTTGCATGTATTTGTTTTTTTCCAGCAACTCACCATGTACTACAACTTTAGCTGTGGACTGACTGGTGCCCAGGTCACAGGTGTAATGTCCAGCATCGTCTTTACTCAGCGAGTGGATGATCAGTGCTAAGGACTTCCCAGAGTGAACAAGCTGGTGTTTCTCATCAGGTGTCAGGACCGTACCATCCTTCCTCCAAACAGGTGTCACAGCATCTTTGGAAGTTTCACACTGCAGACAAACTTCTCCTTGCTCCTCTCCAACTACATCCTCCAAAGATCTGAGGAACACTGCTGGGCGCTCTGGAGCCGACGTAACAACATGTAAATTTGCAAATTTCAAAAATTGATATATACTTAGTACAAAAAGTAAGGATGTTTGTGTTTGGTAGGTAATTTCCTTGTTGTAACAAAGCTTCTTGGCAATAAATCTTATAGCAGACACTGAATTGGCAGCACCTGGGGGTACCTAAACCACAAAACAAGTGTCAATAGCAACAGCAAAATAAGCTTTTTGGGAGAAGATTTGGCTAATTTTTCATGTGCACAACCCACAGCTCTACTGCTCATTCCCATAAATGCATTTGCCTTGCAAATGTGGCACCGTTTGTAAGGGTAATTAACTGACTTTCCAATGGTATAAAATTTATTGCCAAGAAGTATTGTTACAAAAAAGAAATAATCAACCAAACAAAATTTTCCTTATTTTTGTGTTAAGTTTATACATAAAATTAAATGTAAAGGAAAAAAACATTCAGTTACATACCCTTGACCTTTAGGGCGGTTGTCTCAGTCAGGAGACCAGCTTTGAAGGTGATCCTGCTCACCTGCGGTCTAAGCTTGTGCATTATAAGTCTGTGCATTGTGCCCATGTGTTGGATCCGGCTGATGGAGTTGGAACCGAGTCGGACATTGTTAAGAAGCCATTCTGCATTAGCAACTACATAATTAAGCTCACATGAAAAAGTGGCAATGCCGTCTTCCTCGATTTCCACTGGCTCGAGGTGTTTGACCAAGTTCAGTGTTTTCACTATAACACAAAGACACAAATGAGTACTCAAGAAAACATAAAAGCACAGAGCACTGAAGTCCTAGAAACTTACCTTCTACCTTGACCTGTGCTGTGCTCTGTGCACCTCCAGCCATGCAGTGATACTGCCCCGCATCCATCCCTATCAAGCCATGGATGATYAGCTCTGCTCGTTTCCCTTCTCGTTTCATGGCGTACTTATTGGAAGTCTTCAGAGCTGTGCGACCTTTAAACCAGCGGACCACCCTGGGAGAGGGGGCAAACTCGCACCTCAGAGTCACAGAGCTGCTCTCCTTTGCTGCCACATCATCCAGGTGGCGAACAACCTCAAGAGGTCGCTCTAAAGAGAAAATAAATAAACACTAATGCTTTATGTTGTGCATCTGTGATGTCTTTTTTTTTAACTATACAACATTTTAATCAGTGGTTAAAATGTTAGACTTGAAGGAAAGTGAGAAACTCACCTTTGACAGTAAGCTGAGCAGTGGAACGACTCTTGCCAGCCACAAAGACCACAGGCCCTGACATGGAGCTSTCTGTGGTGGTGAAGCAAAGACTGTGGAGGTTTCCCTCCCTGTCAATGTTCACTCCTGCACAGGGCTCCAGAATCTCTCCCTTCAGGGTCCACTTTGGGGGCCTCCCCGACTTTAGGTTGGTTTCTACCTGGAACAGGGCGGGTTCTGGTTCCATCACCCTTGCTGATTGCATCCCGCGCACTATGCAGATAGCCTGCTCTGCATGCACAACAACAACACATATTAGAACGATAGCACGCACACACATGCAGAAACTCAGAAGTATTGCTGATTTTGCAGCTGGTTTGCAAAATGACACTCCATAGCAGATAAATATAACACAGAAGTATCCCACCCTCCACCAGAAGCTGGCATGATGTTTTGTCATCTACCGCATCACATGTGTAGATGTCTTCATCTGAGGAGCAGACATCTTCGATCGTCAGCTGTCTGTAGACATCTTGGCTGATCAGCTGATACTTTTTACCGGATAGGAGCTCCTTCCTGTTCTTGTACCATCTGACCTGAGCATTAGGCCTGGACACCTGACACTCCAGTAGACCTCTGTGGTGATACATGGCAATCTTGACCCTGAGAGGACGAACTATTTGGACTGGTAGCTCTAAAAAGACAGAACAGATTTATCGTAAGTCATCATGAAAGTCAATGAAGGTTAATCTATACCTGTCTAAAATTATATTTAAGTCATGGATGTAAAACTCATTTTCACCGAGGGCTACATGAGCGTTATGGTGGTCCTCAAAGGACCAGTTAACTTCCACTAAACAAGAAATGTTGCATTCCTGGTCTCATTGCTACGGCTGAGCACAGCTAACAAACAATAACAGAGCACTTTGTAGCATTTCCTGTATAGAAACAGCATTTTAACACATCTTCTTATGAACACTGAAAAGTACTACATGTACGACAGACTAAATGTGAAATAAATAATACAGAAATACTTTTAAAAGTAAGTGAGTTTTACTCACTGTTGAGTTGTGTTGAGTAGGTGCCATCTTGAATTCTGAACACTCCCACTTTCCAACAAGAAATGTYTACTGCAGGGGGTGTTCCAGTTTAAATTTACTAATTGTATATGGGAAATTCCAACTGGGAAGCAGCAAAAGTAGCTGGCAAAATGCAGCTAGATGTCTTTTTTACAAGATGAATTTTGCTGACTGTCAGCTACTTTTAAACCCTATGCACCTCCACCTGGTGGTGGGATGCTGTTTTTACGCAGGTAAAAATAATCTCCATGCATTCTGAGTGAAGTAATTTAATGGCCAATGTTGGCTTTTAAATTCGCTTATTTTGTTGCACTGAACTATAAATTTAAAGTTGATTTAAAATTTATTTTTAAAAGCAAAACAAAAAAGTCACCCGGGGACCGTGAGTCTGGCACGTGACTTAAACCTTCAGTGTATTTGACTTTGTGGCAGCTCACCATGTACTGAGAGAGTGGCATAAGATGAGACRCGCTCTGCTGTGAACCTGATCTCGCCGGCGTGTTCTGGTCGGACTGACTTGAAGAACAAGGAGTGAGTTTTACCTGAAATTAAATATGTTTAGATTTTTTCTTTTATTTATTTAAACCAATTTTGATGGAATTATAGATAGAGCTGGTTCCTGACAGTCTCACCCTGGTGCCTGATCTTGATGTTGTCCCCAGGTCGGATTCGGCAGTCGTCACGGTACCAACGGCCRTCCACATCCACCTGGTTGACCTCACAGATGAAGCTCACAGGCTGACGCTCAGTTGTTTCAACATCCTCCAGCTCTTTTACAATGTGTATGTCCCTAGCTGTCAGAAAACATCTAAGCTATGACTTTTGATCTAACTCAAAGTAATAAARGCAGATTATTAGTTTTGATCACATTAAATCACTATGAAAATAGTTGATTACAATAGATTACCTTTGACACTGAGACGGCCTGATGTCTGGATGCCGTTAGCCTGGAACGTGTACAAACCTCCATCTCCTAAAGCCACTCGTGTCAGTAAGAGGGTGTGTTTCTTCCCATGCATGCTGATGCGACAACTTGGCCTGGATTTGACCCGCATCCCATCCCTGCTCCACACGCCCTCTATGTAAGCCAGGTTGAGAGTGACCTCGAAGGAGCAGCCCTCACACTCGGACACCTCCACATCCTCCAAACCCTTCACCACGTGCAAACGGTTCTCTGGCAACAAAGGCACAACATTGTTTTGAGAACTTCTTATCTATTCCAAAAATATATATATACAATTAAAATAATAATAAACAAAACCAGGAGGTTGAGCTTACTGTTAAAAGTACTTGCAGCTGCTACTACTCCTACTGCCTTATTGTCCCCCATGTCCTTATTTATCACTAAGCGTGATTGATGATTATTTATTTTCTACGACAAGAGATGAGCTACAGCAAAAACGTAAAATGAAAAAAAGCATCAAGGCATTAATTGACAAAATAAAAGACATTTCATTTATCAAGTTTAAGAGACAAACACTCCTGCTGTCCAGCTTATTATCACTGCTCATGCACAGTGTGAGAAACTGGACCAGTCAATTAGAATGGACACACATTCATTCACTCATTGGGTCGATCCCCGTGACAGCATGCCAGCCCTCCTCTGCACTGAATTGCATGGTAATCTCTGTCACCTCACTGGGCTGAGCTCAGCACCACCAATATAGACTCAGCTGTGATGAAACCTCCATCGGCCTGGTGCAGCGAAACACAGGGACAGGGGAAGGTCTGGAGAACAAACACAAGCGCTAAAGTCACTAGATGTATTGATATTTAAAATTATAAATACGCGTGTTTATTTCCCCACTACTTGCTCATTTCCCATTGCTGAAATGCATTTTGTGACATGTCACACAATTACATTAATATCACAAAGAACTAGAGCACCCTGTTACCTGTGACCCACTGTCCTGCATGTTTCAGCGGTTTCCCTGCTTCAACACACGTGACTGAAATGAATGAGTGATTGACAGGCTTCTGCTGAGCTCGATGACACTCTTGAGTAGGTCGTTTCATTATCTGAATCAGGCGTGCCGAAGCAGGGAAGCTGCGGAAACGTGCAGGACCGTGGGTCATGAGGAACAGGACTAAAGATCTCTGATCTAGATTATTGGTTCTCAAACCTCTCAGCTTCAGAGGCCTGCTACCTTAACAACCATCAGTTTAATCAGACAAACTTTGCTAAGTGCCTTTAATAAATAAAAGAATAATAACAATACAAACAATTTTACCAGCTATAAAAGATTTTATTCATTTATGACGTGTTTCTTCTTCTTTATATTAATTGTGGTGAGAAGCTATTAGCAAACATTTCAAAATTTAATTTGATTTCTGGGGATTTTCTGGAGATTTGTTTTTCACTCTGAACTCAACTTTCAAATTAATGCGACCCATCAAATCAAACTGTCAAATTTGGTCAAAATGACCGAAGCACATTTTCAGATTCCTGCTTTCTAAGCTACATTTTGATCAGATTTGCCTTGATTTATCGTCTTAATAAGGGTATCCCATTGATATTTGGTCTGAATTCCCTTTTTAGGTTATTTTAGTAGGAGTATTTGAGGTCATTTTAAAGAAGAAACCTCACACAACATTTGGACGTTAAGATTTATCAGATGGGGAAAATAAAAGCTTTGCTAACTTGCAGTGAAAATGGCAACAATGCTTTCTGCTCAAAATCATGTTTTTTGTAGCTACTGCTCAAAAAAGGCTTTCAAAAATTCTTAAGGAAKTCTGTCTCAGACATTTCATTTTAGATATGTTATTTATTCATTATAATGAATAAATAATAAATAATGCACCTTTTGCAAACATTTTAGCCAAAGGTTACCTATTTCTCCACAAACCAGTTCGATGCGATGGCTCCCTTAAGCCTATTTGTATGACTGATTGTCAATGTATAGATAAGGTAAAAATCAACAGTATTTTGTAAATCTAACCACAAAATAAGAATAAAACACTGCTTTGGTTAGAACTTAACAATTTTGTCCAATATATATGATTTAGGTCTTATAATTGTGTACTGACGTCATGTGAAATAATAATTTCCACCTGTGCTGCTTTAAACATAGACAAAAACACTAGAAAATAAGTTAAACATGAAATCACTTACCTAAAAARTTAGACAGATGGTTTGTAGAGTAAATTTATCCTTGTGTCCCCTCCTGTTGCAAATGTAGCAAAAAAGAACTTAATCTACAAATCAAACAAATATAATAAAGCATCCACCACACTGACCGATCCATAAGCCTTGTTTCCCACAAGTATTCAATTTGTTTTGATTACCTACAAATGGTTATCCAGCAAAGTGTAGCTTTGCTTGCTACATCCCTGTCTTCAAAGTTGACAGCCTATAGTTCTCCCTCTTTTTCTTTTGTTTTTTTCTTCTTGCTGTGATGGAACACRGTGCTGAACAGCTGACATATCTCTCCCCGCATGCTAACCCTCCAAAATAGCATTCTGTTGGTGTGAAGACAAAGATAGCTTTGGCTTTAATGGAGGGAAGCAACTTGCGTGCAGTATCAATAAAACCATCTGAAACAATCCAAATATCAGTGTCGGTGGTGTTTTTTTTTTTCTATTTACTTTTTCAGTGTGTGTGAATAAAGTGACTGACGTGATAAAAGTTGAGATTACGTGGARCATGCAGACATTACTGTCCGACAGAGGCCTAAACCTCAGGTTAGAGGCATCAAAGTACTTTGGAAGTTCAAAGGGAGTTTCCACTGTTGCTGCAGCCAAAAGGCCATAAGAATTAAAGTATATTATCCTCCAATTTCACTGGATCATCATTTGTGAGAATGAGCAATAAAACACTATCAAATGGACCTGTTTTTACAGGAACCAGAGAGAAACATACATTTTCTGCTGTATAACTGATTTTATTATTGCAATAATACACTGTGTTACACACTCCATAGCTGAACAAAATAAAAAAAAGAAACATAAAATTGATAATACCAGCTCATTTTGTCTCTAATGTCAGCAGTTTTCATATAATGGTTTAGGTTTGTTTCTTCAGCAACAACCAGCCATASGTTTCCCTTTGACAGACAGCTCCATGTGCTGCTGAGCTCTTTTAAGACCAGTGAAACTCTACCGACAGCCTAATCTCTGTGGAGTCCTGCTGGGGCACAAAAAAACATCTTGTCGTCACTGACTGAAGAACAGCGGCGCACAAAAGAAAAGAAAACTGCTTCCACAGATCTCACCTCATTTATTCTGATGCTTGCCTCTATTATTTGGGAGCCTTTTACAAAAGCTGGGATTATAACGTGATGTTTTGCTACAAAACAATCTGATTGATCTGTTTTAGATGCTAGTTTTAAGATGTAAAATGTATATGTTTCTTGATTGGTACAGCTAAAAATAGAAAAACCGTAAAGAAACCAGGGCAATGTGATGATGTGTGGGGTGAATATAGAACTTGATAAAGCAGCTGAACACTCCTCTTAATACTTGAGGTCCACGTTTGAAATTTCTGCACTGCGTGTGTTGCACATTTCCTTTGACTGAGATTTTCTACACCAGACCACAGTTCTATATTTTGTAATTTAAAAGAAAGAAGAAAAATGCCCAATTTTCTCCATCAGTTGCAAATAGATGAAGTTTCTTTCAGAGCAATTTATAGCACAGCACCAGATACAACAAAGAAATGCACAACTATAATCTCTACACATGAAAGCTGATATTGCTTCAKTCTGGTCTTTTCAAACTCATAACTAGGACAGATTGAGACTTTCAGATACAGACAGGCTCGTCTGGGAGTTGAACCTGGGTCTTTTCRCACCCAAAGTGACCTACCAGGGGTTCCCAAACTTTTCCATTAAGGCTCCCCAAACAACTTCAGCTTCTGGCCGGGTACCCCCTCACAAGCTGACAATAAAATACATTTATATATGTAAATAAATATCAACTTTTTCTAACGTTTTTTCTCACTTTTATTCACTATTGAATATACTTAATGTATGCTGCCTCAAACTTCCTGATTTTACTTGGCCAGGAGTTTTTTACACAGTGTCCTCCATCGGCTGCTGGTCGGTTCATTTGGCCTTTTTTTGTTTGTTACAAACTTGTCCATTGCTATGCTGGCTTCAGACTGAACAAACTCTGTCACTATTAACCACTATTAACCTAAAAATAGTAATTGAAAAACAAACAGAATTTTTTCTTAATATTTAACATTTTTATTTTAACTTCTCAAGACCCAAGTGGTTTTCTTGATGTTTTTGCTCAAAATACCATGTTGAAATGCAACTGAGTGTTTCTCAGAATTTACAAACTCAAAATA